TGAGAACCTGGGCAAACCTCTTATCCGAAGAGAGTCTGGTTACTATCTAGAAGTTACTGTGGGATTAAGACCCACTTGGAGGAGGCTGTGCAGTAAGGTAGACAGTGCAGGACTGAGGAGGCTGGCCTCAGCTTCTTCAGATGTAAAAGAGGACAATGGGAGTAAAACCTTAATGGGCCATGGTTTATTAATAACAGCATTAGTACCAAAATAATATTCCAACTATTGAAACCAAGACCCAAAGCTTTCGATGAGTAAGAAACTCTGGCAAAACTGGTCTAAATTGGGAAAACACTGAGTCTTCCTGAGAACAAGACAAATATTTTTAAAGGTTTTAAAAAATAACACAATTTAAATACTACCAAAATTAATCAATTGATATAGTTTGAGCCATATTAATAAACTTGAAATTTAAAATAAGACAAACGACTAAAAGTCACATCATTTTAAATGAGAAATAATATTCTCTATATTCATTCTGAATAATAGAGAAAAAAAAAACAATGCTACATGGTATTCCCTCCTGGACATTCCAATATTTTTCTGATAAAAAAATTGCTAAAATGGAATAAGGTGACCAGAATGAGAATGCAAAAATATAAGATTAATTTACATGACTAACAGAAGACAGAACTAGTAAATTGAGAAAAATGTGCCAGAAGGCATTTTTGGTTTCAACATAAAGAATTTCTATCAACCACAGATGGACAACAGTGGAACTGGATGCCTCTCGAGGAGGTGTGCTCCCTGATTCCTCTCACTGGAGTCATGCAAGCAGAGAGTGGACATATTATCTGGTCCAGAATCTTCTGGAGGAACCTCCAACATCAGGAGGGAGTTTCAACTAGATGACATTTCCTGCTTCCACAGGTCTCCTCTTACTCACCAAGGAAGGGCCCAGGAAGGCATAACAGGTGGCTGCCCCAAACAGCCAGCAACTGGAAAGCTTCCTAACTACCATACATGTGCCATTGTCTAATCTAGCAGGCCAGAGTCTCCACCTCATCTAAGGCAGGAAGGGTCTCACATAACTAATCAGTATAAGAAAGAACAAAGTGGAAGGGAGAGAAGAAGGGAGGGTCTGGCTGGTCAGCAACCTTAAGAAGGGACATAGAAAAGAAAAAATATCCCCTCCCCATGCCTGGCTTCCTTCCTCTCCTTCGTCTGTGTGCCTGGCTTCTCTGTGTCCTCCCAGCTCTATGTCAGTCACACCTGCTCTTCTCATCCTAGCCTGCACTGCACTCTCAGGCTCTCCTGTCACAGGGCACCATGAATGGAACAGGAGCAGGAAGCGGAAGGATGGTGGGGTTTGTAGGAGTGAAGATAAGTACCCCAGCTGCCAGGCCACAGGGAAAGCCTACTCGTCCTGGTTTCCCACTCTGGTACTCTAACACATTCATCTTATTATACATGAGTCTTAAAGTTTTATGGTTTTCTTAGGTCTAAATTTCAGATATATTAAGGGTTAAAAAGATTTTTCTGGTCTAGACTGGGAAACTATAACCTTTATACCTCTAAGTTATATCTAAGTTTCTACAAAAAAATACTGAAACTCAAACAACCAGCAAACCAACTCAAAAACTTTTTTTTTTTTTTTAACCAAACTCTTCCTCTCCCATAGACTACAGTAAATAGGGCTAGGCCTCAAGAAATTGTGGTCCCAAACAACTTCCTAACAAGTGAGCACTGTTAATGGCCTTTTAGGGGACAGTGTGTAGGAAACCTTTAATTGTACTGTCTACTGCTACAGAAATGGGAGGAAAAGACAAAAGTACATGGAGGACCAGAGCAAAGATATTTTTGTTGGCAGGCTGATATTTAAAATATTTAGAAAGCAACATAATAATTTAAAAATATGCATCAGAGAGGAAAATAATCTTTCACTCATAATCTCACTATCCCTCTTTATTAGGTCTGTGTATTCTATTTCAATCTTTTTCTCATGAGTGCATATTTTATAGATGTCTTTATTTCTATTGGTCTCAAACAATAAACTGAGGGTTACGAAGAGAAGAGACTTATGATGAAGAATTTTACTATCAGAATCTGGGGACCACACATCTGGAGATTATTCCAAAGTATTCGAGCCATAGCGTATACAGTCAACACGGGCTACTTGCAGTTTAGTTCTACTTACAAACTTGGGTATTTATTTTTCAGTTTTTCTACTAATGCACCTGACTAAGTATTACTTTTACAACAGTCCCATACTGCCTAAGAGTAGCAAATGAGGAGCTGTGGTTTTGCTTTTAGAGCAAGAAACAGGATAGGGAAGGGCATCTCCGTTAAGAGAGGCCCTTCACAGATTCCACATCCTAACACTGTGCCTGGTACCTGATAGATACCACTGAAAAACTCTAGCAACCTCAAACAAAGCCAGAGACAGGATCTCAAATAACATTTAATTCAACTGCTTCTCTGCCAAGGTCATACAAGGTTAGGGGCAGCTATGGACCCAAAAGATAAAGGTGCAATGCGAAACAATGTTAAAGAATAAATTGGTACCAGGATAAGCTTTGGTTTAGCTAAGGACCAAGAACTGAATTAGCTAGAGAATGAGAGATTTGGAGGTCAAGGCAAAGCTGGGAAGCAAGCATTAAGGAGCCAGGAACCACAAAGAAGCCTAAGATCAAGAAACAATGGATCTAAGTTAGGCAGGCAGCCATGAAGCAGAAATAATGTGCAAGAGACAAATTGATACTGGAAAGAAAGCCCAGCTGACCTTAACCGGCCACTCATGCCAGGATTCCAGAGTGATAGGAATACAGACTAATAACCTGCTCATCCCCCAGAATAGCTGACAGAAGCTGCTGGGTTTTGAATTGCCAGCACAATCTCTCTGTGACCACACAAATTTGACCACGCAACTATTCCCATTCCCACTCTCCCAACCCAAGCTATGCACATACCCATTTCTGTACAAATGTTTACCGGAAAACAGAAAACAGTGTGTGGACTAGCTGAGAGGAAGAGATGACAGAATGTACCTGTGAGGCCACTAAATTTTAGGATAACAGTCAAAAGGATTCCTGCATGGGCTATATCAGAAGATGCAGAGAATGGGTTGGGACACATAGGACACATTCTCTTTACTCATGTGGCCTTGAGGAAGCCAATGAAGCTCTCTGCACATCCTGCTCCTCATGGTTAATACAAGAGATGCATCTAGAATAAACTGCATTGACTCTTCCACAAAGGCTGTGCAGAGTTCTGAAATAGGATATAAATATAAAATATAAAAAGCTTTTGCCATTCTCAGATATGTCCTATAATCTCTTTCCCAGCACACGATTGTGTGGGTTGTCACAGGAAAACCTCACATATCAAGCTGGTGATGTCTAGCTACCCAGTGGGCAAAATATTTATGTCACCATTTAGATTTCTAAGAATTAAATAATGTTAATTATCAGGTTAATAACTGATGATAGTAGGGATTTTTTTTTTTAAACCTCCCTCTGGTGATTAAAAGTCACACCACATATAAACGAGCATTTTAATTATGTTAATTCACTTCCAATTTTTACATCCAGAAAAAGAGATATTAAAGCTGATTCCTCTGTTCTGGGAAATTGTAAGCAGCTGGCATGATTCGAGGATTTGGGGAGCCAGGTTTTCCTAAGGCTGGATCAACTCTGATTTACTCTGGAAGTACTACTGGGTGACTTGGCTGAGGAACATCTGAGTGAGTGTAGATACCTTCTTGCCAGGACACAGCCTCATCAACAGGCTTCTGTGTAGCCAAATGCATGCCCCAAAGGGAAGACTGTCATGAGTGTGTTTTAGATGACTGCATAATGCTTTTAACTTTTTGAAAATTACAAAGAATGTATGTTTCACAGGTGATGGTTAAGAAACCATGATATGCAAATGTACTTGTGGGAATATCCACCATCAGATAACAAATCTATGCTCAGATGGTTCTCGCTCGTACATTCTAGTTTTGTGTGGGCTTTAAAAAATACAACTAAAAGCAAAACCTGCCTCACCCCCACCAAAATCAAACAAAGAAACAAACAAACAGAAAGCAGTGGAAAGATGAGTAAGAAAGAACAGTCTGGATCTCAGATGCTTTGGATCAGGTATTAGATAGTGGAACAGATTATAAAGAAGAAACCCAAATGACACTGTGGAAAAAGTGACCAACTCTGAGAGTGAGACTGGGGAGGGTGGTGGGAGAGAGCCATTAAACTTCTAGATGTTGTGCTAAGGCAGGGGTCCCCAACCCCCAGCTGCAGACCCAGTCAGTGGCCCGGTAAGAACTGGGCTACACAGCAAGAGATGAGCGGCGGGCCAGGGAGCAAAGCTTTATCTGTATTTGCAGCCATTCCCCAGCACTAGCATCACCGTTCAGCTCCATCTCAGATCATCAGGCATTAGATTCTCATAGGAGCACTGGTCCCTTGTGCCTAAGAGATTGGGGACCGCTGCACTAAGGGAACATGAGGATTTTACTTTGAAAGTGACATAGACATTAAGGAAATGGAAGGATCTGGGAAACAGGTATAATAATAGTTTTGTTTTTAAAAAAACATTTACTAGTTTTCTAACTATAAAAGTTGCACTTATTGTTCATTCTAAAAATTAAAAAAAAAGAAGAAGACACAAGCGGTTCTCATGATTCTACCACTTGGAGATTATCATCATTTGAGTATATTTGTGTCAGGGCTTTTGTTTGGTATGCATGGAGTTTTTATATTTGCTTTTTTTCATTTCAAGAAAATATTTCATATTTTCAACATCTTTGCAAATATTTTATAGGTTACAAAGTACTTCATGAATATACTCTATTTTATTTTACTATTTCCCTTTTAACCATAGCATTGTTTTAAATTTTTTGCTATTATATAATTCTGTGATGAACATCTTTATGCACATTAGAATTATTTCCTGAGATTAGATTCCAAAAAGTATAATAACTGGATGAAAAATAAAGATAATTTTAAAGCTTCCAATGCATATTGCTGAAATGCTTTCTAACATTTTTTATAAATTTACTCTCATACTAGCAATGGATAAGAATGCCATTTTGTTGTATTCTTGTCAGCTCCAAAAAATGTGCAGATGCAAGAATTGTATCTGTTTAAAGTTTAACTTAATCTTCAATGTCTTACTTAGTCTTAGATTGGTCCACTACACAAGACGACATGAAGGAGTGTGTGCTCCTAGTGTTCTTGACTTTGTGCTCTGCCAAGCCCTTATTCCGCCCTTCGCACATGACACTGAAGAATATGATGCTGAAGGACATGGAAGATGAAGGTGATGGTGACACTGACCCTGACAACTCTCTTTTTCCAGCAAGAGAATCAGTTAACCCCTTCTTCCCATTCGATCTGTTTCCAACATGTCCGTTTGGATGCCAGTGCTACTCAAGAGTTGTACACTGTTCTGATCTAGGTAAGAACATATGTCAACTTGTTTTGGAGAATAATGTTATTCTGACAAAATTAAAAGAACAGGAAAAGTTCTCACTAAAATTTCAAAAATCAGCTCATTAACTGTAAATAGATTTTTCATTTAAATTTTTAGAAAGCATAACAAATCCTAAAGTGTATCTCAACTTATTTTAAAAACCTAGAAAATCAGAGGTAAACAATGGCAATTTCATGTATAGAACATTTCCTTTTCTTCCCAAATTTGAACCAAAGTGCTTCATTTTAATTTCCTTCAGAGAGAGTGGATGTTTTTGTGCTTTCTTTATCTTAGTTACCAGATTGAGATTGTGCTCTCTAGCAAATTTCTATAATAACAAAGTAAATTACTGTCCAGGAAAATAAATAGGTTATAGAGTTGTGAAATCTCTAATCTAGACCTTTTAAAGGCAATGCTCTATTTGTTTTGAATGATTTGAGTTTACAATTGTCAAGAAAAGAAGTGGTTGAATTAGATTACTTTCTAAAGTCTCTTATGAATGTGTAATTCTCTGCCAAGTATTTTATTTTTTAAATATTTCTAATGAAGGTATTCTCAGACAGAGGGGCACACTGATACACGACTCAGGGAGAGGGTGTGATTGAAATTCACATCAAGAGTCGCTGTACACAGCTATTTCCAAAGGAAGTGACAGTTCAAATTTGCCATAACGCAGGAAGCCATGGTTTGTCACATGCCTCCCATCAGGGCAACTTCCAGAATGCCTATGAGCAGATGGTGCCTCTGAAATCTTTAGACTCATTTCCTGCTGCTACAGCATTTGTGGCAATACTCAAAGCTTGTTACAATCCACTCCAGAGACTTTAATGAAGTGTGCTATTAAGGGACAAAATGAGAGAGGTGAACAAAAAGCATTCAGGAAAAGAGATTACTATGAGCTAGAATCATTGAGAAACTCTTAATGGACTACATAGGCTAGGAAAAATGAGTTTTAAGCTTTACTTTTGGCATTCTTGTGAAAAGAGGTGAAAGATGAAGCAATATTTGAGAAAAGCTAGTCTGGAAGCACATGAAGAATGAGTGTGGGAAGAGCAGCAGGAAGGAGAAAGGCAGAAGCTGAGACAGACTCTGGTATGAGAAATGATTAGAGTTAAAGAATATCAGAATGAACTGTCATTGCTTAGCTGCATCTCATGCAGGAAACAACTCTACCATCAGCTTGCAGAGTTGGTGCATGAGAAAGTACTTTCTAAAACAAAAATCACAATAAAAAATGTACATATCTACTTTGATACAGAGGGATGTAAACTGAATTGGTTCAGGGTAAGATTGCGACTAAGGAGGTTTTCGTCTTCAACACAGACGATCCTCATGTGATCGTCTTCATATTTGTTCCAGAGCAAAGTCATCTGCTTCAACTTGAAGATGTTTGAGGAAGCACTACATAGCTTTGCTCCAGTACATGACTATCATCAAAGAGCTGAGAAAAACCAAACTACCTCATTACAGACAGCTGCTTGCAAATAGTGTATTCTTGAATACTTTAGCTTTGAAAACTTTATTAAATGAAATTCACTTAAGGCCATCTGTAATAGTCTGACACTTACCTTTAAAATGACATGTCACCATTAGCAATGTATATCGCATCTCCCCTATGACGACTGACAGTGAAAAAAGGTTTGGACACCTGTAGTTCTTTCTCTCTCAGAAAATTAAATTCTTTTCAGAGCCCCTAATTTCATCAGGGGTAGGACAGGGGAAGGTTTGTCAAAGTCTATGTTACGAGGCCCTTCCTACAGGATTTCCAGCTTCCTATAAGACCTTCCACTTCATTTTCTAAAACCCAAATAACCTAACAAAACCTTGCTGTCCCAACAAGTTACCTCCTTTTCCCTCTTCATATCTATGGTCAAACTTCTTAAAAGAGCTGTCAGTTTTAAAGTACGGAGGGAGGCTACAGAGTGAAATATTGATATTCACAATATTTAGATACTGAATTCTTCAATTATAGTTATTAAATATAGCTTCAGGAGTAGGGATGGCTTCACCAAAACTGTACTTATATATCTGAAACTCACTTTAAAATGTATCTTTTTAAAGATGAAGCAATGGATGGACAGTAAGTATAGTATAGTGAAGTGAGAATAGAAAGAGAATATGGGTTTTCACTGTAAAATTCTTTTGGCTTTGTATGTTTGATCATTTCAACAATAAAATATTGCGGAAAAACAAGACCCCATGCTCATCAAGCATAACTATTGTATGGAATGTTTGACAACAAGCAGGGATGGGTATGTTCAGCCATCTGGAAAGCAAAAAAAAAAAAAAAAAAAAAAAAAAAAGGGAAGGTCAGATAAAATATATGAAATAAAATGGCAAAAAAAAGCCCTATCACAGTAATTAAAATAACGATAAGTAGGTTAAACTCACCAATCTCAGATTACACTATCAGAACTAACAAATGGAAGATTGACGATTAAAAAAAAAAAAAAAAAGTAAGGAAACACACCATGTACAGCTCCTGGTAATTTTCTGTTCTCTTTGTTTTTAATTCAAGAGGGAAAAATACATTTAAATTTTTTAAATAATCTAATTAACATTTATTGAGTACCTACACAAAGAAAATGCAGTTGTACCTTAATCTGAGATAGAAAAAGGAAACTATTCTCATACCTGCAGAGAGAGAATGGTGACTAACAGGTGGGCCAAGGTAACTTCAAACTGGAGCACATGGCTAGAAAATAACTAATGCTGTGGGTGATGAATTCAATAAAAGTATACCACACACCTAGATGTCAACAATAGGTATGGATGAATAAGTTTTTATAAATCAAATAATTTGTGACTAATTAGAGAAGCTCATTATTACAAGAAATGGGTGCTAAATTTTTGATAATGTATATGAAAATAATCTAATTCATCTATTTTCTAAGCACAATATTCTACATGTTGAGGCTCTTAAAATGATAAAAATTCACAGACTCCAATTTAGCACTACGACAGCCTGAAAATTTACAAAGCACTTTAATTTTCCTCAGCCAAAAGTGCATCAGCAGAAGCTGTGCCTCAGCTGTCGGTCACTTCCTTGCAGTCGTACTGGCATGCTCTATTTTACTTCCATCTCATGTTACCTTGCAGCAGATGGGCAGTGACAGCTAGACCCTGCTAGACACCTTGTAAAAATAAATAAGTTACTTGAAAAGCTCTTTGGGCCTTTCCAAAGAACAATGTTTTTGTCATCTATCACATGTTAAGTCATCTGTTCCTTAATAGATTTTAACAAACGCACATTTGTAACATATTGGCAATCTCATCTTCAGCATACATGTATGTAACATATTTGTTTATTTCTCAGGTTTGTCCTCCGTCCCAAGCAACATTCCATTTGATACTCGAATGGTTGACCTTCAAAACAATAAAATTAAGGAAATCAAAGAAAATGATTTTAAAGGACTCACTTCACTTTATGTAAGAATATATCCTCATATCTTCAAATATGAGTGAAAATCTCTATCACTGCTAAAGTGATTACTTGTATTTGTTCATGTAAACAAGCCTTACTTTTTTGTGTGACTACTACTTTTGGAATGACAAAATCCCTGTTAATCAGCAGTGTTCGAGTTAATGAAATATTATAGAATTCAATTAATAATTCAATGCAACTGATGTTTGCTGAATAACAGCCTGGTGATAGGCAGTGACCTCAGAATTAAGTAAATAGTCCTTAAATGAGCTTATGATTCATTTAGATAATTAAAGTCATTATACACTAAAATGAATAAGATTATGATTATTTATAGGAACTCATTAGCATATAGTATAAGAAAATCTGTACTCAAACCCACTGACTTAAGGCACCACAAATGTCTAACAGTAACACATGCAATATATTTAATTGACTAATATAAGGCTTTTTTTCTTAGACCTTTAAAGATGAAATTTTTTTCCTTATTATAATTATTAATATTTTAATTTTCTAAGATTTAAAAGATTCTTCTTTCTCTTTTTAACATTTTGGGCCTCTAGATTTTAGCAAGTAAAATTTATAATTTAATTTGGAATTAATTTGTTGGGAGAAGCTGATTCCACACTGTCACAGGCATGGAGTATCATCTCTTCCCCTCAGCATGACGTTAGGGTCTCTTTTCTGCACTAGGCTATAGTGGTAAGCCAATACTGCTCTTCCAGGCCATTTTCTCACATTCTTATACTGTGCTAGAGAGAAGAAGTGTGGATCTTGTCATCTGCAGCAGAGTTATAGCACTAAGAGGGGAAGGCAGAGACACCATGACATGTCTGTTGCTGCCATCCACACAGACCTGTTATCCTCCTGTATCTGAGAGACTTGAGGCGACCCTGCCTGCCCGTTCATTACCCTCAGGTCAGTGCATAGACCCTACTGACCTGTTCCAGAAGGCAAGGAAAGGGGACTATTGAGTTCCATTATGCAAACCAGTGCCTGTCTGTCAGCTGGATGAGCAAGGACAATCAAGCTGATCATGTTCTAGGCATCACAAGGGATGCTCTTTACTAGGCTCTCTTGCTCAATCCACAGGCCAAGCCTGCCTGGAAGGAGTGGTGCCTAAAGGGAGCCAAGTCAACCTCCCTGCAAAGCCATTTTCTTCCCTGAGCTTCCAGACAGTTGAGCTCATGGGCCCTTGATTGCTCCCTTTCCTTTCAAATGTACCATGCACACAGCTCAGATTTGGGTAGGCTCCATACATACCATAGTTGTCATATATACGAGCACCTAGAAGAACATATATTTATCTTATAACAGAGGACTCACTTAAATATTAAGATAAACAGAAATAGCACAATAGACTCCATCAAAGATCCATCCAGTCCACCCTACTCACTTCAGACTACAGATACTTTTGGAGAATGGTAAGGCCATTATTCTATCCTCAAAAGTTGGAAATATAGCCTATGAATGCTTCCACCACTTCTTTAACCTATATTCAGCTATAATCAAAAGAATAGTCATATTTAATACTGAAATTATATAAATTTTTTAAGTCACCATATCATTATTTATTTACATTTTAGGAGTGTTAAAGGGACTTAGTCCACATGTATTTCTGCTAATCACTGGGAAATGAGAATTTAAAAGGTGTCAGAAGCTGTCTTAGGCCTTGTTAATTTTCTTTTAGTCCATTTCTATATAGCATTGTGTTGGGAGGGAGAGCGTTCTACAGTGTAGGGGACCTGGGCTCATATCTTACTTCTCTAAGCCCGACCTTCCTCAGCTGTAAAAGGAGTATAACAATAGCATGGATTTCAGAGTGGTATTTAGACTACATGAGTGAATATATGTAAGGTTCAACACCCAACTATAACTACTATTGTCACCAGCCTAGTGTTTCCAGACTGGCCAATGTACTAATTTAAAGTACTTTTTAAAGTACATACTTTATACTTGAATTGTGGGCATCCTGTATATTTCAAAATATTTATTTAATTATAATATCATCTTATATGGTACCTATTTTTTAAGAGAATCAAAACGTTTAGCTAGTCTATAAATTCTCTATATTATGTTTTAATGGCTTGTTTGGCACTGTGGTTCTTATACAAAGGACAATTCAGCATTAGAGAACACATGAGATCATTATACATATACACACACATATACTCATATTCCTTGTTCACTTTCAGTCCATTATTACAGCCACATTCATCATGAAAAATCATTGTCCTACTTCTGAAAGGCTATACTTTTCTCATCTTCTGTCCTTACATATAACCACATTGTTTGGGACTCTGTGACTACTACTTTTGGAATTTTTATGTAAAAAGCCAACACTGAAAGTACAGCTTAACTGGAGATATTCTGCTCATCTAACTTGCTGGGGCAGCATTTGATGGTACTACATAAAAATTCCTACCCCGTTTTATGTTACTTATACTTCCTTTTATGCAGCTCTGACAACTGTATATCTTAACCAGAGGGGAAAAAGAAAACAAAACCCCATACATGATGATTGGATCTAACTGAAGCACACGTTCCCTTTGGGGCTCCTTACAGTGGCAGCCCACAGGAAGTGCACACAACAGGAAGAACAAAGTGTGCAGGGCCAAGGGGCTGGGCCACGCAGGAGGCAAGTCAATTTTCTTCACCATGCCCACTTCCTCATCACTAAAAGGAAAGAAATAATTTTTGTTAAATTTATCTCATGGGGTTGAGTGTGAGTTCACCAACTTGCCTTCCTTTCCCAGACCCATATTTCAGTATAACCAAAGGTAAAAGGAACAAAATCTTAATTGGCATCATACATTCAGAAAGGAGTACAATTGACCAGTTGGTAACAAAATGTAGTTTCATCTCTTATGCTAGGCTTAACTTTTCTCAGGTAAAAATTTTAACAGTAGTGATATGTCTGAAAGGGGGGTAAGAAAAGGGCGAAGCACAGCACCGACAGTGAAACGAATAAATATAAAAATAAAAGGAGTTTAACTGCCAAAGCATTTGTATTTCTTCTGTGCAACAATAACATGAATAATACCAGAAAGACATATTAACTCAGTCTGGAAATAGGAAGAATGTTATAGAATGGGACTGCAGACAAAATTCATAAAAGGAATTAATCTACAGCTGTTCCCTGAAAGAATGAGAGGATCCAGACTAGCACAGAGGTATAAAAAGTCCTAAGGAATGCTAAGCTACCTGCCATTGCTCGTAGGAAACATCAAAAATTATTTCTGCAAAATCTGGCAGGAAAGCAAGGGCTAAACTATGTTAATCTTGTAGTGAAAATAATTACTAGGGTGATTGACAAGTCCCAGTTGCCAAGGACTTGCTCGGTTTTGTTTCTGAAGTTCTTACATGCCAGCAGACCAAGACAGAGGCAGTCATAATGCTTTATGTGGCATAAAGGGCTTAGCTGTGGAAGTCACAGAGTTGCACTGCTACAAGCACTTTTACTGCGAGGTTGCCTCCTCTAAAGGGTGCTGCTAACATCACATGGAACTGAGAAAGGGTTGAGTCATTCCTTAGGACCCACCACTGTCTCCCAAATGTCTGAAATATGTCTGAGGGTGTTTTGTAGGCGTTTATTCCGACAGGCCTATATTCTGGGAAAGATGGTAAACATTAGGAAAAATGAAAGAAGTGAGGTTTTAAAAGTAGATAATAAAAGCATGCAAAAATGTATTTGGTGTGCACTACACTTAATTTTGCAGAGTACATAGATTTTAAGTAAGATAAAATTAATATCATCAATTACTTCTATGAAAGGAAACGAAAACTGGAGGGGGCCTCAACCGCATGAATGCATCACTTACTCAAAGGCACAAAAGCAATCACTAAAGCTTTTGCACACTGTTCCAATTCAGTAGTTTTTGTTTTGTTTTCGTTTAGATTGGGCTGAAAATTTATTTACATGGTTAATCAAACATGAAATGTTATTATTTGCATTGATTTCCACATGAGTAACTAATTACTATAGAATTACTGCTTCCTAATACGATGTAACTTTTTATGCTTTGTTTAGGCTTTGATTTTGAACAACAACAAGCTAACAAAGATTCATCCAAAAGCCTTTCTAACCACAAAGAAGTTGAGAAGGCTATATTTGTCCCACAATCAACTAAATGAAATACCACTTAACCTTCCCAAATCATTAGCAGAACTCAGAATTCATGATAATAAAGTTAAGAAAATACAAAAGGAGACATTCAAAGGAATGAATACTTTACATGTTCTGGGTAAGTTTTTACAAATGAGACATTTAGAAATTATATGTAATATGCAAAGGTAGAGATTTTTATCATCATTATTAAGACTGATAATTCCCAAAATTAATTTTTTGAATCTAATAACCTTTACCTAGATAAGCCATTTATAAATCAATTAAACTATTGTACAAAATTTATAGCACTGAAAGATGCCTTTTGTAATATACATACACTCCCACTACGAAACACCTAGTTTTTCTGACTGTACCATAATAGGTCAAATCTGTTATTCTTAATTTAAAGGTAGTAGTGCAACATACTCAAATATATTGTAACAAATTAATTCAGATATTGTTTCAAATGTACATCTAACTTTTCCTTATTTGCTTAAAATTATTGAGCTAATGAATTATTTTGTTGCATATTTTAAATTCCACCCTATTTTACTTCTAACTCCCATGGAATAACCACACTCCCTACAATATCCATTCAAAATTCCTAACCAATATTCTCATTCATTTATTTGCTTATCTAATTCAACCAAGTGCCTGGCACTTACTGGAATGTTCTCGATTATATTTCTGTTAACTGAGTAACAATTTCTAAGTAACATAATTTTAAAAGTTTAGATGACAAATAAATGCATACTGGCAAACACATACATTTTGAATAATATGAAGGATGACCTTTTTTTCTAATGTAAAATTACTACAATGAATCCTTGATCATGTTGAACAAATTCATGGTTGGAAGAGAGTATAAGTTGCTAATTTTGTAATTTAAAGCAAAACAGTGACCGTGTTATATATTCCATCCTATGTAATACAAAGCGCTCTTTTTCTCAGACTTACAGAAAGGGGAGTAAATAGACATAGAAGTACATACACTGAATGAAAAAGAGTCTAAGCAATGCTCCTATTTCTCAGAATTTTCTTGGGATGTGTATCTCTGCATTGAGTTTCCTTCTTATATAACACATGTATGCTATACTATGTAATTTCCCCTCACAGAAATGAGTGCAAACCCTCTTGATAGTAATGGGATTGAGCCAGGGGCATTTGAAGGGGTGACAGTGTTCCATATCAGAATTGCAGAAGCAAAACTGACTTCAATTCCTAAAGGTTCGTATTTACTTTATTTAAGATATATTTTTTTAATTGTCATCCTTAAGTGACTATTAATGTGATGTTGTAAACTGTATAATTGTCAAAATCACACTGTAATTAGAATCTTTTTTACCAGTATAGCTGGTTGGAGTAGTATGAAATTTGGTGTTTTCTCGTGCACACATAAATAGCCATATGTGGTGCTTTTTTTTTTTTTGTCAGAGTAAAACCAGAATCTTTTTTAAAAAATTTTATTTTAGTAGTTTCGAGTATATAGTACATTGGTTAGATGTTTATATAGTTTATAAAATGATCCCCCTAATTGCTCTTTCTCTCCTCTGGCTCTCCACTTAGCCAATACATTAATGCTAATGGCATTCCCTATGCTGTGCCCCCCACCCCCCATGACCATCTATCAACTACTAATTTCTACTTCTTTTAACCCTTCACTCCACTCTCCCAACCTCCAAACCTCTCCTTCTGGCCTTCACCAGATTGTCCTCTATATTGGTGAGTCTGTTTTTGATTAGTTTGTTCTTTTTGTTCCTTAGATTCTTCATATAAGTGAAATCACATGGTATTTATCTTTCTCTATCTGACTTACTTCACTCAGCATAATAACTTCTAGGTCCATCCACGTCGTTATAATGGTAGGATTTCATTTTTTTTTTTTAATGGCTGAGTAATATTCAATTGTATATATGAACCATAACTTTTTTTTGTTTGTTTGCTTATTTTATTTGCTTTTGTTTGTGTTCATTCGTTTGTTTTGGTGCCAAAACCCAGGAATGAACCAGAACCATAACTTCTTTATCCAGTTGTCTGTTGATGGGCATTTAGGTTGCTTCCATATCTTGGCTATTGTAAATTGTGCTACCATGAATATAGGGGTGCATAGACCTTTACAAATTATTGTTTTGGTTTTCTTTGGATAAATATCCAGAAGTGCAGTTGCTAGATCAAAAGGTATAGATAACCATTTTTCATTTTTTGAGAAACCTCCAGACTGTTTTCCATAGCAGCTGTACCAATTTGCAATCCCACCAACTATGTATGAGAGTTCTCTTTTTTCCGGCAACACTTTTTGTTCTTTGATTTATTGATGATAGCCATTCTGACAGGTATCAGGTGATATCTCATTGTGGTTTTAATTTGCATTTCTCTGATGATTAGTGACCTTGAGCATATTTTCATATGTCTATTGGCTATAGACATATACTTCTCTTTGGAGAAGTATCTGTTCAGATCTTCTGCCATTTTTTAATTGGATTGTTTGTTTTATTGTTATTGAGTTGTATGAGTTCTTTATATATTTTGGATATTAACCTCTTATCAGATGTATCATCAGTGAATATCTTCTCCCAGTCAGTCAGTTGTCTTTTTGTTTTGTTGATGGTTTACTCTGCCGTACAAAATCTTTTTTTGTTGTAGTCCTATTTATTTTTTCTTTTGTTTCCCTTGCTGGAGGACATATATCCAAAAAGAAATTACTGTTAGCTCTATCAGACAGTTTACTGCCTATGCTTTCTTCTAGAAGTTTTATGGTTTCGGGTCTTATATTTAAGTCTTTAATCCACTTTGAGTCTATTCTTCTATACAGTGTAATAAGCTGGTCCAGTTTCTTTTTTTTTTGCATATATCTGTCCAATTTTCCTAATACCATTTATTGATGAGACTGTCTTTACTCCATTGTATATTCTTGCCTCCTTTGTCATATATTAAGTGAGCATACAGGCGTGGATTTATTTCTGGGCTCTCTATTCCGTTCCATTGATCAATCTATCTGTTTTTATGCCAGTACCATGCTGTTTTGATTACTGTAGCCCTGTAGTATAGTTTGATATCAGGTAGTGTGATCCCTCCAACTTTGTTATTCTTTCTCAAATTGTCACGGCTATTTGGGGTTTTTTATAGTTTGATATAAATTTTAGGATTATTTGTTCTAGCTCTCTGAAAAATGCCGTTGATATTTTGATAGGGACTGTACTGAATCTACAGATTGCTTTCGGTAGTATGGCCATTTTAGTGATGTTGATTCTTCCTACCCATGAGCACAATATATGCTTCTATTTATTTGTATCTTCTTCAATTTCTTTTTTTAATGACTTATAATTTTATGAGAACAGGTCTTCTATCTCCTTGAAACCAGAATCTTTTCTCCCCAATGAGAAAAAACATTAAGAAGAAATAAACTTTTTATTTTCCTTCTCTTTCCTGACATTTACTCATCTACAGCTGTCATTCTTTGAAGTGCCTCTTAGAGGTGAGAATTTTGTAGAGGAGAAAGCAGAGATAGATGCACAGGCACAGAAACCCTTGTCCCAGCTGTGTAGCAGTGGTCTTCCCAGGTCGGCCTCTGAAGCCAGACTAAGATAAATGGCGGCTCTGGCAAGGAAGGGCATGAACTTAGGGCAAGGTGCTCTGTACCTTGTTTCTTCACACAGGTGTTGTGCAGATTAATAAATCAATGCACAGAAAGGTGTGAGGACAATGTTAAATGCCCTCTCATGACATAACTGTTACTGGAATGAGTACCACACTCTTTATTATGTGACCTGAAGCTGGCACCTCAAAGTAAAATACTTAAGTTTGCTACTGGACCAGTTTTCTAAAACACTACCGAAAGCTCCTAGTCTAATGATTTCCTGGATAGGATTGCCTTTCTCAGGACTCATGCTCAAAGTGTTGTTTTCCTCATCCTTGACAAGGGTGTTCTTTCTCTCTGCTATGATGACTACCTGGATCAGAAATAGCCCCTATGGTTAATAACATATTTTTCTTGCACATAGCTGTGTCTTTCAGTATCTGTAGTAAAAGTAACAACTTCACCATAACTCCTTTTCTACTACCCACCAGATCCAGAAGATTAACAAAACAAATGTAAACTAATAATTTAAAAGATACAGCAGAGGTGCTATTATTAATCAACTGATGATCTTTTGCTTAGGAGAAAACCATCTAAAGTGGAAAGATGTTTTTTTTGTTTGTTTGTTTTTTGTGTGTGTGTGTGTTTTTTTATACAGGAAAAACCAGTTTAATTCAGAACTACACAATTAGAAAACCCCTTAATTTAGGTGGCTGTTTTTCTACAAGAAACCAAAAAATGTTATAATATTTACTTTCTCATCTTTAGAACAACAACAAAATACAAACTCTACCTAACAAGTTAAATAATATATAAAATCCCTTCCATATGCTGGAAGCTAACATTGAGTGAAGGTGAACAGGAAGAGGGAGAGACAGCTCAGAGATAAGAGGTGCTGAAGAGAAGGGCACTGTCCCAGAGCTGTGGCTCGGAGGCATCCTGAAGTTGTCATTGCTCTTTAGATTGACACCAGCAGTCTTCCATATACTGCAAAACATCCTGATTGCAATTCTCTTCAAGTTTCAAAGTGTATCTCAAAAATAAAGGTTAAGCTTCTCAAAATTCTTCCAAAGCCTAAAGGAACATTTTATATCTTTAGAAATTTAAACTGGAATCAAATCTGTCAACTTACATAACTACTTCAGCATCTCTATGACATTCAAAATCCAGTTACATTCTTTGTTTTATAATTTATTTGCTAAAATGTTAAGGCTTACTGCCTGTTATAATTCAATCATTACTACCCCTTGTGGCAGAATAAATTAAGACCACAGGGTCCTTACCAGATCTGACAAGTTAACATAAGGAGAGTGAAAAATGTTCTTCTTATTCATCTGGAAAATTTTACTTCATAATAGTATTACGTGGAAAGGGGGAAAGATCCGCTTGAAGATACGGTAGGAAAAGAAATATTTGTACAAAAGTATGCTACTATTTGTTGACAGTCAATGAGCTTCTACCTAAATTCATGTCTTTGCTTATTTATCCAGTGTATACAGATGATACACTTTTATATTTGGTTATCTACTTTTTTTACATCCTAAAGGATGGAACAGTCCCTTCAAGTTCTAGAAAGACAAGAAGTTTTCCTGATACCTCAACATGAACAGAGATTTCTCTTTTTTGATTTGCTACAATATATTCTAGAATAGGTTGGCATACTTTATGATGAATTTTTCTAGTGATTTTTTGTATGTATGATAGATTTGTTCAATACTTAAAGGCTTTGAAAACAAAAACTTTTCTTTTACATACTGAAGTGAGTATATAGTCATTCTATAAATATAATTAAGCTCAACTAATCAGAATTCAAGAAATTAGAACCCTCAGTTTAGAATTATTTTCCTGCTTTATAGTTAGTTATTTACTTTTAAAGTTCAAAGTAGATTCTGGAATCAACATAATTGATATTTATAAAGATGCTTCAATTACCTTTATCATTCTTTATCACTAATATAGGAAGGAAATATTTCAACCAGAGTTGAAAAAAAAAACACTTTTTCCAGCTAGTTAACTAAAACTTTTGGTTGTCAAATGATACCTTATATTTTTAATGCTAGGCATTACATATAATATCAGGTCCTATATAGGACTGATAAAATGAAATTTGACTGAAATTTCTGGTTAGTCTCTTTTATTTCTGCTTCAGTTAATCTGGGAAGGCCTGGGGTCAGGATACACAGGTGTAAAAAGAGAAGGTGCAGACGTTCACAGGGTACTTGCCATGTGCCAGGAGGTACTGGCAGATTAAGTAATTAAGGGATGCTTCTCTTAATTCATGCAGAAACCACTACTAAAAGAAAATAAATCCTGCAATGGACCAAACATATCAAATAGCATAAAAATTCATGTGTTTATTGTGATATTTTACAAATTTCACTGGTCCTCTCTGGGCATTGTACCATTTCTTGAAAGAATCAAGCATTTATGCTGCCTTCCCTATAAAACTGTATTGCATAATAACTAAATAATTGATGAAAGAAAATTCTTTAGAGAAGAATTCCATTTAGTAAATGCATGAAGAATGACAAAATCAGGAAAATCACCATGTTCCCATTCTTAAAGAAGTAATGGATCTAGGGAACAGTCATTAATGAATGCTAAGACCATCAGGTCTAATCTGGTCTCTAGTTCTAACTACCAGGTCATAAGAAATAAGGAGGGGTAGAGGATCATGATGAGCTATCTTGTGGAAGTCATCAGCCCAACCCATAAGTGCGTATCTCAAACAAATCAAAATCTGAAAGAAATCAATAGAAGAGGAAGAAAAAAGAGTAACAGATTTTAAGATATAAAAATCAAATGTATAATGTAAACTTTACTAGGACCCCAACTTGAACAAATCAACTGTAAAACAATACATTTGAGATCATTAAGGAAATGAATATTAGATGACAGTAAATATGTATTGCTAATATTTATTGACATGATGGTTGCGTAAGTAAAAGGTGACTTTATGAGTTAGAGACATCTAGTTAAATCTTTACAGGTGAAATGGCATGTATAGAATTTAATTGTAAATACTTCCACAAAAAATAAGTGAATAAAAACAAATCAATAAGTCAATAATCAATAATCAGTGGGGTAAAGGAAACAAGATTAGAAATATAGAGGATTGTTGAAGCTGGGCAACAGCATGGTGGTTCAAAATACTAGCTCCTATTTTTGTGTATGTTTGAAATTTTACATAATAAAAAGTTTTAAAAAAAAGCAGATGCCTAAAAAAATTACTTGAAGTCTATAATGTGAAACTTAACAATAATCAATACAGCTTGATCTTGATCTAACATATATTTCTTTCCTTATCATCAGAACTACCATCAACTTTATTAGAGCTTCATTTAGATTATAATAAAATTTCAACTGTGGAACTTGAGGATTTTAAACGATACAAAGATCTGCAAAGGTAAAAGTTCCCAAAATCCTAACTCAGAAAGGGTATTCCAATATGATGAAGATATTAATGAAACTTCTTGGAAAATGTGTAGAGGGACCTAATCAAGATTTTCATTGTTGCTACTGGAGAGTGTGAAAAGAAAACTGGAAGGAACTGCTATTATTCTCTCAGTAATGAAAGAGGGCACCAAGTGGAATGAGAAGTTGGCCCTTTTCAAATGTCCCTTTTGTTGACTATAGGTTAAAGAATTTTCTGACAGTGGAGGAGAGGGCTGTTACATACTGAAATAGATTATTAAATAAAACCATGATATACCTTTCTCTGAACATATATATATCATATGAACATATATATATATATACACACACATATATACATATAGATGTATTATATGACAGGTTTACATTTCTAACTCGGTTGTTGTGTTTTCAGCTAACTGTATCATACCATTTACTTAAGAGTTGATGAATTTTATGTTACTTTTAGGCTGGGCCTAGGAAACAACAGAATCACAGATATCGAAAATGGAAGTCTTGCTAATATACCACGTATAAGAGAAATACACTTGGAAAACAATAAACTAAAAAAAATCCCTTCAGGATTACAAGAATTGAAATACCTCCAGGTAAAACATTCTACTCATGTTTCGTAGATATTGTACTTTTGTTTTTATGAAACCTATTAGTACATGAAGCAAAGACCAAGCAAGTAGCAAGGGTAAGTCACACGTAATGACCCTCCAGGTTGTGTGAGGTATTTTATACAGCAGGAAAGTGGTTAGGAGAACAGTTGCTATGGAAACATCAGCTGCAACACTCAGGTACCCATTTCCATCTCTTTCCTTTTCTCCTACTGAAACTGCTAAGGCCATTATGGCAGAGGTACTAGCTAATTTCCCAGCTAATTTCAGGTTTCTGGGTTGGCAGTGGCTATGTAAAGGCAGAACTGGCCATAAAGAAACCAAGTAGGATCACATATCCTTTCATTCTGGAAACATTAAATGAAGACAGGCCACGTAGATGAGGTCCTAGGTATTTTCACCACCAATGTGGTGCTAGATAAAATGTGAGTGTGCTTTTTAAAAAATTCAGCCAGAATATAAAATTAAAAGTCAGTATTTGGAGCATTATGAATTCACATTTCTTGTTCTTCATTATTAGAAATCTTTTCTTTCTCATCTGGAGGGGCCACAGAATCCGTGGAGGATCTGATAAAGCTTTAGATGCTCCCAAGAACAAAAAATGGAGACAATATTTTACACATAATTTTAGTAGTTTCACAGATCTCCCTGATTCTCACCTATGGACCTCAAATTAAGAATCTCTACTTAATCCCATTTTACCTTAGTCCATTTTTCTCATATGCTTTCCTTGCTATACAACATTGTCATCTTTCAAGAGGCAAAACCACATTGAACAAAACTAGGCTTTGAGTCACTTCTTTCTTCTAGATTTCTTTTCTATCTACCTTTAAGTAAGTTTTGTTAAGTGCACTCCTTTGAGACAGAAACTATCGAAATGGATGTGCTATATGCAGATGTTCATTTCAAGGTTACAACTTTTGCTTTGGCTTTTTCAAATGCTACATTTAAATGTCTATTGTTAACCAGTGAGCATGACCTGAGTCTTCCTTTTCTCAAGCTATCCCAACTTTGCGTACTTTACAACTCTGATCCCAGCTTCTGGGCACTCTTGAATCTACCCTTACTCTTGCTAGCATTTTTTTTTTTTTAATGAGTAGAATTATAACACTAACAAAGAACAGAAATCATAAGGATACAATTCAACAAATGTCCACAAAGCAAAAAGACCCATGTCCAGCACTGTTTCCCATTCCCAATGAGGTCAGTGCTGTGGTAAACTACACCTTGCACTGACGCTGAGCTGCCAGGAAATGCCAGGAACCATATAAAGCATTTGTCACAATATCTCCAAAACAGAGGGCAGAGGGGGCTCTAATCTCAAACATAAAAGGTTTTAGGAATGCCTAGAGTTCTCATAACTGGCTTAGATTAATCTTACCAAGACATAAAGGCAGAATCTAAAGGTAGAAATAGTAGTATCTTAGCTTTGCCAGCAAAAGGCTCTTACTTTTTTATATGTCAAAATGCAGTCAATTAAAGAGACCATTTTTAATTCCCAGAAATTTCAGTTGCCAAAAAGGAACAAAGAAGAAATTCAAAGGGATGTTAAAGGGAATGAAGGGAAGTTTCTATACTGTCCATTCTGAGTAATAATTTAATTTTAAAAGGCCTATACACACCTATAAAACTGTATTTTGTCCATTGGTGCAAATAAAGATTTAACTATTGATGCCATATTCCAGATATAGATTTAAGATGTTAACAGATACTCCACTATAAAGCAACTTACAAAAAAAGCAGCTCTATACTTCTCTCTCTCAATCACAGGAAATGCTAACTAACAATTCTTAATCGTTTTGCAAGTCTAATGCTTGAAGCATTAAATTTCATTATTCTGTTCATTTTTAATACTTATTTAACACATATTGTACACATGGCACTGAATTAACCACATACGCACACGTGCGCACATACAAATACTTATGTATATATGTAGAGAAGGAGAGTGGTATGTGCTGACTAGGCAGTGTGCTCTGGGGCCCTGGCATATTTCACACACAGAGCACTTTCATGTATAACAAATGAGGCTGAGTTGTTATATTATTTAATATTTTAAGTGAAATGCATTCGAATCAGTGTAAAACTCATGAAAAATGTTGCCTATGAACAGAATATCTTTTCACATTTATTAGTGTATTTTTAATCTATTCATTTTACATTTACTGTACATTTTTAATCCATTTTTTCCTACTACGACAGATAATCTTCCTTCATTCTAATTCAATTATGAAAGTGGGAGTGAATGACTTCTGCCCAACAGTGCCAAAGATGAAGAAATCTTTATACAGTGCAATAAGTTTATTCAACAACCCAGTGAAGTATTGGGAAGTACAACCTGCAACATTTCGTTGTGTTTTGAGCAGAATGAGCGTTCAGCTTGGGAACTTCAGAAAGTAATAATTAGTAATCGATAATATCCATTTAATACAAAATTCAAAAATGTTACTTTTGGAATACTTGAACTATATTAATAATGGTGGTATTATACATGGAAGCAAAAATCTATTCCCATGTGTTAAGTCCCATGTCTTACTTTAGGACAAAAAATTTCAACAGAATTTTGCAAAACTATTGATAAATCAAGATTGAGAGAAACAAGCATCTATTGCAGTTTTCTTCTACAAACAAATGATTTTGCATATATCTCATGCTTAAACATTCTTCCCCACTAACAAAACAAGAGACATTCAATATTTAACACTTTGTTATCAAGTGCATTTTTAAAAAGAACTGTACTGTAAATGGAATGCTTGACTTAGCTAAATCTGTGCTTTCATTTGCTGTTAGAAAAACAAAATTGACAAGGACAGTAATATGAAGAGGACATTATACTCTCATTATTCTTTCTTTAATAACTCGGGTAGTACTATAATATTTCTAATAATGTTGAAGTATGGTTTAATATAATCTTATTCAAATTCTCATGTCTTAGAGCCTTACTGTCTATATGTTTAAAACTAACCCTTTATAATAAAGTCCTCTGTAAGTGTTCATTACTAACTCAACAGGTGCTATTCACAGAGCTGGTTTTTGAGCTATAGCACATGCTTTTTTAAAAAATAATTATTACTCGATTATAAAACTTCTATAAAATGCATAGTGAGTGTTTACATAAAATCTGTAACTCATATTTTTTATTACCACAGTTATTATAAGCTTTAATAGTATATCAACTGTTAGGTTATGTAACATTGTCACTGCAACACTAAGGAATATTTTCAAGGTGTCCCTTTGTAAGATGTTGGTTGGAAGAGCCTGGACACTATAAATTCTACACCAAATTGTCTCCTCAAATATGTACAGACTGGATAACTCTAAAAAACACACTTAGTTTAACTAATTAGGCAGAGCATTAAATAAAACACACAGAAATTATATAAAATTTAAGAGTATGTTATGTATTTTTTATTGGCATTCAACAGAAGTAAAACTAGAAAATAAGAAAAACATTAAAATATTGGTTTGAAAGAAAACATTTGTGCTTTGCTTTAATTTTTCTTCTCTCACCCAAGAACTATTTTTCAGAAAACTCTAATTGCTATACAACTTTTTAATTTATTTTTTTAAATAAATTTATTTATTTAAATTAGTTTCAAGTCTACAGTACATTGGTTAGACATCTATATAGTTCATAAAATGATCCCCCCAATTGCTCCCTCCCCTGGCCCTCCACTTAGCCATCATATTAATATAAACTGCAGTCCCTGTGCCGTGCTCCCCATCCTCATGTCCAACTATCAACTACTAATTTGTACTTCTTTAATCCTTCACTCCATTCTCCCAGGCCCTCAACTCCCCTATCTCCCCTCTGTCTGTCACCAAATTGTCCACTATATTTGTGAGGTTTTTTTTGGTTAGTTTGTTCTTTTTGTTCCTTAGATTCCACATATCAGTGAAATCATATGGTATTTATCTTTCTCTGTCTGACTTATTTCACTCAGCATAATAACCTCTAGGTCCATCCATGTTGTTACAAATGGTAGGATTTCATTTTTTTTAATCTATACAACTTTTTAAGCATAGTATTAATGCTTATTCTTAATAATAGTACTAAAATGCTCCAAATTATGCCTGTGCTATGAAAGATAGTCATCTTTATGTTAAATGACCTCAAAAACGAGATTTTAAATAACTTTGGAGGTCATAGAAAACATGTTCTTTGCAGAATGTGTGGCAGCTCACTGGTTTCTACCCCACTAGGATGCCAGTAGCACCTGCACCTCACAGCACTGTGTGGCCATTGACAATTTCTCAACAGGGAGTGAGGGATCCAAATAGAAGCTGGTTGAGAACAACTGCTTTATAGAAAATGTACTTAATTTCTAAATTCTGAAGCAAGTTTAGAACTTGGAACAAAACAGCTCTTTTTGTTTAATAAAATTATATCAGTGATGAACAGAAAGAGCCCAGGGATACGGAGCTCTGAGTTGAAAGAACGAAAACAGAAATCTACTTCCATTTATAGTCTTACGCAGATCACAATCTCTTTGAAACTGTCTCATCCTCTATAAAGGGTAGGGTGACAATACTGATCGATTAGATTGTTATGAGGATTGAATGATAAAAATGTATGTGAAATGCTTTGTATACCATAAAGATTCATAAAACATGAGTAACAATTATGCTGGGCACTTACTAACTGACAAAAAAAATTAAAGATTACGAAATCCTTCAAAATAAAAGAATATATTACAATGAAAATCATTCTAAAATTAAATATTTTAATTTTAGGTCATAAAAATAAAAACTGTCATATCATGGCACTTCTAAGAACATACGTTAAAGTCAAATGTTCACTGAAATTTTAAGAATCTATTTCTTAAAATTAATAATTAAATTCATAAGGTTAATGCTAAGGTTAGAATCATCTAAATGAATTAGCCTATGATTTAAGTAGTGGAGCTTAAAGTAGCTAAGTTAAAATTTTTCTGAAAAGACAGTAAAAAATTTTAAATACTAGAAATAATTACTGAAATCACTGCAATTAATTTACTGTACTTAACATTTCTGTTTTTCACCCCACAGCTGTTAACCATTTTTGGTTGTAACTTTACAAAAAAGAAATCACAAATAAAAATTATAAACAACCAAAACTATACTGAAGTTTTCTGCTACCAATCCATTTTATGGTAAATACAAAATATTAGCCATTAAAGTTTGGAAACAAATTAATTACTACAACTTACTGGGTTTATTAAGGATTTTATGGTAAAAAATATTTCAATATCCTCTGACATAATACACTAAAAAAATGATCATTGAATTCATGAATCAGACAATACCTTTAGAAAATCACTTGAAGTCACTAAAACTAAGGCTTTTATTTAAAAAATCATTTTTTTCTTCTTTAAACTATTTTATCATTTTTCTGTCCTTCATAATTCCATCTTTAAAAAAATATATAGAATTGGCTTACCTTGGTCTTAATTATCTCTCTACACACATGTCTGTAACATATTGCAATCGATGTAACAATTCTCCTAAATCTGTCTTCCCAAAATCATATTGTATGAATAATATTAAATAATAGTTGACATTTAAAAAATATTTTCAAGCATTCTTCCAAATGTCTTGCTTGCATTAATTCATTTAATTCTCACAATAACTCTATGAGGCAGGTACCTTTATACCTGGATTTTTTGGTGTGGAAATTGGGGAACAAAGATTAAGTAACTTGTGGCAGATCTAGGATTTGATCCCAGCAGTCTAGCTCTGTCCTTCTAAATGTGATAAGACACTAATTTTTTAGTCAGTGATCATCATTATTAAAACTGTGTGTGGTGCTTCCTTCTGGAGACTCTTTACTTACTTGACTTCCGCACACATTTTTCAGGTTGCCCTTTAATGGCTGGCTAGGATTCCCAACATTTTTCTTTGGGCCTCTTGTATCTGCCCCCTGGCGATCTCATCCATCCTGTGCATTCAGCCATTACCTCTAACTAAGATAAGGCCTCGGAAATCCACTTCTCAAACATGGCCCTCACTTGGAAGTTAACAAACTCTCAAAAGCAAACCTAAATACTTGGAGCCATGAAACTCAATCAAAATCGACATCATAAACAATTTCCTTCAAACTTGCACTGTCCCCCTCTTATCTTTGTCTTTCCTCCAGTTGTTCAGATTTATTCCTGACTCTCTTTCTCCTTCACGGATACCTGGTGCCAAGTTCTGCCCTAGCTCCCATGTTCCTTGTATCCATTCTTTCCTTTTAATTCTCATTGACTATATCACAATCACTTTATTTTCTAGTTGGAATACCAAAATCAGTTCCTGGCCTCATTTTACCAGTCCAGCTCTAACGTGAACAGCCTAACAGATCTGTGTGCTATCTGAATTGGTTATTCATCAAAAGCCTATAATAGTTTCCACTGATTGTTAAATGACAAAAACTTCTTAACCTACCCCTCAAGACTATCTATGATCTACATTCAAATAATAATTTTTGAGCTTTTTCTTTCATTCTAACATCTTTTGATGTTCCAGCTCAAGATTACTTGCTATCTCTCAAACAGACTCTGTGTTTTCTGGCTTCTGTGTTTTTGTTCATGCACCTTTTACATCAAAATCTTACCTAACCTCAAATGTCCATGTTAAAAGTCACCCATCTCAGCTCATATTCCTGATTCTCTCATAAACAGACGTGCCTTCTCGCCCCCTCCCACCTCCCTAAATCTGCCCTGTATTTTTATTGTGCTTCTCTTTTGCACTTATCACAACCTAACTTATTATAGCTATTTATACATTGGTCTTTTCTTTAACATTCTCCAGGGGATTTGTAGACATCTTGGTTGCAAGCACTATATTTTAGTTATCTTTGTATCCTCTTTCTTCCCTTCACCAAAGACTACCACAATACCTTGACTCAACATATGTTTCTGAATTAAATCAGTGCAGAGTGCTTATTAGTGAGAAGAAAGAAAAACTTTTATCCTCACCCTAAGAACATGATGTGTTTTTATCCTACATTTCTTCTTCCATCTTAGCAGCCCACCCTACTCTCCAGCTCTCCCACCTACTACACTCACCGTATGCAGACGTACTGTGTGCTTTGCATAATTCAGAGGTAGACGCAGACTGCATTTTTTTCTCAATGATTCAGTATTATTGAACAGATTTATCACAATCTCTGAGGAATTCTGAATCAGATCCTCCCACCCAATCAGCTCTGACTAGTGCTGTAGTGAAGCAAGCATTCCCACCAGTGATATATTTCTCCTGGTAAAATAGTAACAAGGAATAAAGAGAACTGCTTTAAAATGAGCCCTTACATGGACAGAGGAAGAGCTTACAGATGCTGGAGAGGCAGAAACACACAGACTAATCAGTCTAAAGAGCAAAAGCATGTGTCATTCTTGGCTCTGCACACAAGACACAAGCAGTCATATGGAGTCCTGATATATTTAGACTTGCAAGTTGAGTGCTGGAGACTTCTTTATTAAGGAAAATATACAACAGAAGCAGAAGTAGGTAAAACAATATAATGAACTTCCATGTACTTCTCACTCAGATTCAAAAACTATCAACTGATAGCCAATCATATTCATTTGTACTCCCATCACTATTATTTTTAATAGTCTTTACTGAGATATAATTCACATTCCATATAATTCACCCATTTAAAGTATATGGTTCAATGGTTTTTAGTATATATAGGATAGCAACCATCACCACAATCAAATTCAAAACATTCTCATCATTCTAAAAAGAAACCCTGTACTCATTAAAAGTTACTACCCATTTACTCCCACCCTAGATAACTGCAAATCCACTTTCTGTTTCTATAGATTTGCCTATTCTGGATATTTCATATTAATGGAATCATGTAATATGTTGTCTTTTACAACTGGCTTCTTCCACGTAGCATAATGTTTTCAAAATCCATTCCTGTTGTAGCAATATCAGTACTTCATTTCCTTTTATTGCCAAGTGATATTCCATTGTATGGATGGACCACATTTATTTATCCATTCATCAGTTGATAGACATAAAATTTATTTAGACTTTTTGGCTATTATAAATAATGCTGCTATAAATATCAGTGTTTAAGTTTTTGTGTAGACATGTGTCTTCACTTTTCTTGGGTATATACTTAGGAGTGGAATTATTGGGTCAAATGGCAACTTTATGCTCAACTTTTTTCAGGAACTGCAGACAATATTCCAAAGTGGCTGGACCATTGTGTATTCCTATATACAATACATTCGGATTCCAATTTCTCCACATCCTCACCAGTACTTGCTATTGTTTATCTTTTTGACTGCAGCCATCCTAGAGAATTTAATTTACACTTCTCTGATAACTTGTGACTTTCACGTGTCTATTGACCATCTGTTATCTTCTTTGGAGAAACATCTATTCAGATCCTTCACCCATTTTTCAATTGGTTGTTGCTGTTTTTGTTGTTATTACCATAATTATTATTGAGTCACATCTGAGGGCGACACACCCAAAGAGCAAACATGGCAGGCACCAGAGCCCTGCTAAAGCACCCTCCTTAATGTCAGGCCCTGCACAGCAGCTCCTCCACTGATCACAGATGGTCACCACAACCAATCAATCCAAGAGTCAGTCCCTCCCATTGACAAGAAAACAGCAACCAAGGCTCAA